TCACAATCATATTTTTTTACCTTAAATCAAGGAACTCCTATACCTTCTTGGATGTTACATCCACAATGAAATACTTAGCAAAGAAGATCTCTTTAAGGTGTGTTTAGGTTAGGTTAGGGATGTCCAAAGGAACTTTAGCCATATCCCACCGGACTCTTGCATCTCGAGCCGGCCTAAACACAACTCTCTTCACTCAATCCAAGTCTCTTATCCCTTAGATGTTCAAAATTAACCTCTAAAGACTTAATCCAATCTTTAGCAACTATAGGATCGGGGTTTCCTATAAACTCCTTTGGATTTAACTTTTAAAATTTCTTCATCATGCCACTTCTCTAATTTTGAAGCCTTTGATCCCTCTATTATTGCAAAGTCAACAATTGTCTTATATGCTCCTTATGCTATTCTTGTTATTCGTCGTTGCTTCATATCTAGCATACGTTGTATCAAGATCTCATTCTTGCCCTCTGCTAGAGCGCCACGACCATTTTCGACTTCATTGTCTCTCATTCTTCTTAGAAGTAATCTAACATATTATCATTCATTATTGGTTTAAATTCCTAAAATCTTTTCATATAGTCCTCATCATAACATTTAAATCAAGTGAATACTTAAATATCATTTTTACATGTCATACATATATTTTAACTTAGTTCTCTCTCTCTCTCTCTCTCTCTATATATATATATATATATATATATATATCACTTACTTGTTAATGTTACTTGTCGAGCCTCGAACTCATGTATGCCATTATACATCAAACTTTCAATACTTATTTATTCATCCCAAAGCAATCAATAACTTTATTTTCTAATTAAGTCCATATAATCTATTTTGCTATGATACCATATTGTAACGCTCGTCGATCGAGACACCTCACTTGAAGGGTCACGATCGAATGGGTCGATACTAAAACCTATATCCTTTTAGTTTTCTTAAAATTAAGTTTCTAATTTAATCTTATTTATTTTTAAATATATTAATTTAAAATATATCCTTAATAATATATAACTATAAGATTTTTTCATTAACATAGCGAAGCGTTATTCTAAAATTTTATCATTTATAAAAACATCTCTCATCATAATTAACATTCATAAATAATATTGTCCTAATATTCATACTCAAATTTTAATAAAAAAATTTCAATATTCATAATTCTAACGTCCTTACATTTATTCTTTTAAAAATAAAGTTTTATTTAAAGCATAACCTAGTCATGAAGGACACGCAAAGATAGGCACATGAGTCATTGGTCACCGGGAGTAGCATTAGTATTCTCAACATTTACATCATTACCTACACCATAGAATGTGAGGTACAAATATCCCAATAAGTGTAATATGTATGATTTTACATTAAATTTTTTGTACATGAATGTCTTCAAAAATTTTTTCCTCATTTGGAATCACTACAAGATAGTAACATTGATTAGTAGGGTCTAGCCTTAATAAAAACATGTATAAAAATATTAATCTCAACATTTAACAATCAAAACCCCAACTTTTAAACCTTAATGTTTATACCTCGATAGGCAACCTTAACCTTTAAACCTCAATATGCATTAAAAAATGACCTCATTCGTTTGCTTAAAATATTTTCTTTCAATTAACATGTAAAGCATATGCATGCATATGAATACACCTCAAACCACCACATCACATCAATGACATAAAAACATATAGCATTTATGTCCATGGTGTAGGTGAGTTACACTAACTTGATTTGCTTAAGACTAATGTCTATCATAACCTTTTTCTAAAAATCGATACTTCAATTTGATTTAATATCTTGAATATATACATCATATAACAAAAGAAATTGAATATTATTATTTCATCTTTAATCATTTAATTTTTTATTAATTCTTATAATTTCTTTTAAATTAAAAGTCATAATTAAATCATCAACTCTACTCTAATTTATTCAATTCTCCTTTAATTATATTCATATATTTTAATGTTATTAAATTTTAACGTAACCTTTTCAATTCTTATTTAAATACACTTAATCATCAAATACTCTTTAAAAATTTAAGATTTTAGTAATAAAATATAATTTTTACATAAATTAGAGTAGCTAACAAATTCCCTTTGTCCTTTCTATCCTCCCTTATTCTTCCGGTTCTCTAGCTAACAAATTCCTAGCCATTATCATTATGTTTCATTGGATGATCAGCCACGATGTTGTTTAATATCTTTCTATGTAACCTCGTCCACATGTGATTGTATCTCAACCTTTCTAAAGTTTAGAACTTTTTCACTTTGTACCGTCATTGGCATATGAGCTTGTTGTTTATTCCTCTTACGATAGTTTCCAATCGATGACCAATTAAACCATAACCCTCACACAATGAGATATTACCTTCATACTCCACCCGTTGTCGAAACCCATGATCTTTTGATGTTACTAGCCACACTCTAGATAGAAAGGTCCGGACACATCCAACTTAATGTAAATTCTAACGAACATGGGATAAGTCAACGATAGAGTTCTATCATCTACTCTTAAGAAACATCCCATAGTTGCCCCAACACGCCATAGGTAGGAAGGAGTGAAAAAGGGTAAGGAAAGGTGAGGCGAGACGAACCCATATTGTAATTTGTAGGGCAATCCTTGCGAAAGAGAAAATCAAGGGTCCATCTAAAGAAACGATACATACAATTCAAAATTTTATGATCTTTACGTGAAAGAGCCATTCTCATATCGAGTCATTACTTAGACGAACCATTACATGCACTGGGGTCAAGTAAGCCAATCATAGGTTCCCTTAATAGATTCTAATATTGATGAATATGTCCCTTGATATCACTCGATTAGAGGCTTTCCATTGGAAAACTTAAGGATGAGTGTATATTGAGATTAATGAGTAGCAATCTCCATCTCAACTATATAAAACAAACATGCTTGGCTTGCCATTGATATGAACTTGTGAACATGGAGTAAGAGGCATATTTGTTAAAATAGGGGTTTGTATTTGAGAAATAGATGGTTTTGGGCAATCAACTGCTGCATAATTCGGTTTTTAGTGTTGAGATGTTCCATTTGATTCCCGATTTTGCAAAGAGGATTGTGTTGATCCTATTATGACTGCATTAACATCGATCGACCGTTGTTGTTGCATTGAACTGGGTTTAAAAGTTCTAGCTACTACTACACATGTTCCTAATGAAATTGCCGAGTTGATTCATATGTTTGTTGTGGATGGAAGATGATGAAAATCCACATCCGAATGTAGTTTCTTTCGATTTGGTGGTGGCATAGCCATGCAACTAGGAAAATCAAACCCTAGAAGCAAAGGCAACAATTAAGAGATTCAAAAACCTAGAGAGCGTTTTAGCTTCCGATGAGAGAGAAAATTAAAGGTCATCTTTGAATAAGCCATTCATCAATTCTTTTTTTTTTTTAAATTATATAAACTATCTTTTTTTTCTATGATTATATTTTTTTGGTATTATTTTTTTGAAATTTATAAAATTTTAACATATAAAAAAAATATTGATAAAAATATACAGATTCAAATTATAAATCTTGCATGTTTTAGTAAAATTATAACATTTTAATACCAAGTTAATATAATTTATTGATAAATAAATAAAAAAATTAACATAGGTGTCGTCTTTTTATATTTTCTTTTTTCTTTTTTAAAACATGAGCTAATTGTGTGAAATGTAAAGTTTAATATAATAAATTAATAAATGTAAACTTTAGTGTGTGTGTATATATATTCCAAAAATCATAAATGAAATTTTCGTATTGAAATGTAGTGTGTGCATAGCAAGAATACGTTGGTAGCTGATTAAATCAAGCAAGCACAGTCCTTGTAGGATTCTAAGTCGGTGCTTAACCCAATCTAGTTAGAAATCTGTTTTATGAGTCGATCTGTGAATTCCCCCATAAATAAAGAGGCTGGCCATTCTTATTCGTCTAATAGAAAAATTAGTGTATTTAATTTAATTTGAGCGTTCGAGTATTCTTCAATTTTATTTTTATTTTTTCTCTATAAAATAACTTTTTCTATTCTATCAATTTTATGCATAATTATACCGCTCACAATCCAAAGGTTGAATCCACGCATAACAACAGCTTTTAGAAATGTGCCCTTAATCTTAATTACAAGAGTCTCTCTCTTCGTCTTACTTTTTGCATTAGTTTTCCATCCAATCCCCAGTGTGAGAGAGTCTTGTCCTCTCACAGTCACTCGCAAACATAACATTTTTGGTGGCGAATCAGTTCATAATCACACTGCAGCTAAGGTAATGGCTAGGCCAGCAACTCTCCCATGACTACTACTTTCTTTATCTTACGTTTATCCTTCACGTTATTCCATTTCGTAATTTACGATTACAACAAGGCTCTTGCATCCCAAGTGTATTCCAAATTAGTTTTTACTGTTGTATTATTGATTTTTTCAAATCATAGCTCATTCTTCAAAAAAAAAAAAAAAAGTTTTCAACATAGCCCTTTAAAAGCCACAGAGCCTCGTATCCTCATTGGTCCAAATACATTCAATCAAAATACTATATTAACCCTCACACACATGTGCATAATTAAACCCTTAATTACTATTTACACAGCTTTAAGTTTATTTCCATAAAAGGTAAACCAACACAGTAAACACAGTAAAATCTAGTCAGACAACAGTCACCTATCCATTACCGACAGTCTGACTTTTACATTAAGCTTGTTTCACCAGGAATCTAATGATGTTTTATTCTCTTCCCATACTCTCCCTTAATCCAAAGGTCCATTCTTCACCTCCACCCCAAATCTGAATCTCCACCGTCCATTCAGATCCAGGCATTAACACTTCAGTGCTTAAAAAAAAAAAAAAAAACCAAGAAAATACCAGCATCCTCATCTCTCTCTCTCTCTCTCTCAGATCTCATCCACAGTTCAAGCTCCTAACTTTCTTCTTCTTCTCTCTCTAAGCAGGGTCACACATTCTTAGGAAGACAAGATTTTTGTGAAAACCCATTTTGCCCTTGAAGCCAAAAAGGATGGTGGAGGCACAATCATGGGCAACAAGGAGAATGAGCAACCCAAGAATAATGGATGGCACCACCGTGTCAACCACCACCAATGACCAAGTTCTTGACATACCAGCAACCCCACCTGGTGATGTGAGAAACAATGCGTATTCTACCGTTGGATCATTTTTTTCTCCAAATATTTTAACAGCTGGGATCATTGGATCATGGTATTTGTCCAACATCGGTGTCTTGTTACTTAACAAGTACTTGTTAAGTTTTTATGGCTACCGGTACCCGATATTCTTAACAATGTTGCACATGATTTCTTGTGCTTGTTATAGCTACGTGGCTATAAAATTTCTTGAAATAGTACCATTGCAGCATATTTTATCAAGAAAGCAGTTTATGAAGATCTTCGCTTTAAGTGCTATCTTTTGTTTCTCTGTGGTTTGTGGTAATACTTCATTGAGGTACTTGCCTGTGTCTTTTAATCAAGCTATTGGGGCAACTACACCATTTTTCACTGCTATTTTTGCATTCTTGATAACTTGCAAGAAAGAATCTGCTGAGGTTTATTGTGCACTTTTGCCTGTGGTTTTTGGGATTGTTTTGGCCAGTAACAGTGAGCCTTTGTTTCATTTATTTGGCTTCTTGGTTTGTGTTGGTTCAACTGCTGGACGTGCTTTAAAATCTGTGGTTCAAGGGATTTTGTTAACATCAGAAGCTGAGAAGTTACATTCTATGAATTTGTTGCTTTATATGGCACCAATGGCTGCTTTGATTTTGTTACCATTTACCCTTTACATAGAAGGGAACGTGGCTGCAATTACGATTGAGAAAGCCAGAGGGGATCCGTATATTGTGTTCTTGTTGATTGGGAATGCAACTGTGGCTTATTTGGTGAATTTGACGAATTTTTTGGTGACCAAGCACACAAGTGCCCTAACTCTTCAAGTGTTAGGCAATGCTAAGGCTGCTGTGGCTGCTGTCGTTTCGGTCTTGATCTTTAGGAATCCTGTGACTGTGATGGGAATGGCTGGTTTCGCAGTTACAATCATGGGTGTGGTGCTTTACAGCGAGGCAAAGAAGAGATCTAAGGTCACAACACACTGAAAGATAACTATAAAGATTCATTTTGATTGCCACAAACACTGGTGCGGTTCTTTTTTTTTTCCTCCTTTTGCTTTATTTACTTTTGCTTTAATATTTTAATTTTTTACTATTGGATAAGGGAAATTTGGATCAATTTGATTGTATAGGATGGTGGAGAAAAGGGAAAGGATTACGCTCTTTTTTTTTGGATTTTTAATTGTTCCTGGTGGGAGTGGTTAAGAGAATGAAATTCTTTTACTTTCCTGTGTGTAACCTTATATAACTGAATTTACTGCAATTGGAACAGAAAGAACTGATGAAGATATTGATTTTCAAGTTTTTAATTAGAGGGAACAAAGTTCTTTCTTTTTCATTAATCAATTCCATCCTTTATGCAGCATATGTTTTGTCTGTAAAATTGGCATTCCTTGAATTCATTTTTGGGTGTGGAGGTTTGTTTGTTTTTTTTTTTTAAATTTTTTCTTTTGGATTCTCTCTTGCTTGTTGTCTTCTTTAGCTAATGTTAGTAGCAAAAGATTATTGGATGAGTTAAAAGAGTGTAGGACTGTAATTATTGAACGCTTGAATCAGTTGGTGTTTAATTTATTTGACATACTCTGATGGTACATTCTGTGATGTAAAATCTGACCATTATTAGGAGTTCATGTCTTGGTCATATGGCATAGGTCAGTTTGTCCCTTTTATTTGTGACTGAAGATGCCTTTTATTACTGCCTTTTCGATCTGTTAAGAATTTCATGCACGAAATTGATTGTTGATGGGCATGATGACATTTACATTTTGAGTGAGCCTGCTAGCAAATTTCTAGATAACCATTGAGGTTATTAATGCTTATTAATGCTGTTGTAGTGACTATCTGAAAAAAAAGATGATAGTCTATCATTCCCAATTGCTATCTCTACTCGCATGGTTCTAAGATTCCAAGTTTCTCTTATAAGAAACACTTCTGAATCAAGAACTGTGATAAAGCTTTTGCCGAATAGTTAAAATTCCGTATCATAGTTTTTGCTTGTTGCAAACATATAATTCCTGCCTCCTCTTTTGTCAAGATCTTTTGATTTAATCAACAGGGAGGAGACTTCCTTTTGGAAAGAAATGCAAAAGAATTCGGTTTTACTGGGTTTTAGATAACAGCAGGCAGGGACATGTTGAAATGGTTCCCAAATGCAATAACTGTGAAAAGAGCAACCTTATTTCCGCATGACTGGCAATGACAAGCATCCTTATGTTGAATTAATTGTTGCTTGCTTGTTTAATGGTTCGATTTCTTCAAGTAAGTTTTTTTTTTGGGTGGGGGGATTGAGTGGCAATTATGTTTTAAGATGAAAAGTGACTATTTTAACAGATGAAAGGTGAAATGTTCACATTAAGCATAAGCCAAATACTTTTAGTTGAGGTGCGTTGCTGTCTGTCCCAACTACCGCAGATGGTTTTGTATTTGGTTATTGTTTTGTAATCTTTGTAGCCAATGCACTATATGGTATATGCATCATGTGGGACATGAAGAATTGCATTTGCTTAAATTTTGTTGTTAGTTTGAACTTCCTTCTCAGCTCAGCTCAGCTCAGCTTTAGTAGTAGTATGTGTCATGTTAGTTTAAAGGGTAAGATAACTCTTTGCTTGAACTTTAGTCATTTTCAATTCTCAATTCTCAAATTAGATGAGTCAAGCCAAGACTTGGTAGAATAAGCTATATCAACTACTCATGTTCAAACTTGGAACTTCATGTTTCGGCGTAGGTTCTAGGTTTCTTACGTAAAGCTCAGGCTGTCTTTATTATATCTTTAGCTAATCACCCTTTTCAAGTAAATAAGCCTTGTGCTACAAGGATTAAATTTCACTCATCTCAATGGATGCAATACCAAAATGAACATAAAAAACAAGCCTTGTACTACAAGGATTAAATTTCACTCATCACTCATCTCCCTGGATGCAATGCCAAAATGAACATAAAATACAAGTAATTAGTGTTGCAACATGATCCTTGCATGGAAGCCGAATGCTACTGCCATACATATGTGCAGTTTAGAAGCAGTGATTCCACTAGCTGCTAATTTAGACTGCGAAGGTAAAGGTGCCGGTGCCTCGTCCTTAGCTAGAACGGCTTTCTCATTTTGAGGAAGAACGTTAATGGCTAGCTTCCGTTTCATTTTGCAGTGCTTGCCTCCACTGCAATTGTACAATTCTTGATTTGTTTCCCTGGTTTTTCAAGTCTAATAACATTATTACCGGAAGCTAAAGTCTCGGTTGTTTCTGGTGCTGACACATTTTTTTTGAATGAAGCATCATCCACTTTGACAGGTTCGTGGAATACAACTTTGTACTTGAAGAAAGCAATCTGGCCATGCCGTCATTGCAAATAGTTTGGAAATGTTGCGTAAGTAATGAAACACGTTGCAAATATGTTGTAAAATTTCCACAGAATATTGCAAAGATCCGGTCGAATCTGTTGTAACTCTTACACAAATTTTGTAATGATTCTCATGTCAGTTGCAACTTTTCCCGAGCACATTTCGCAACAAAATTACCTCGCCTTTGGTTTTAAAGGCATGGTAGAAGGCACCACTCTCATATATATAATATCTGAAAGCTATACATCTAGTGGTCTTGCAACTATTTGACATTTTAGACACTAGGTAACAGACACAACAGTCAAAACACAGATGGTTACGTAATTTTATCAAGATTTAAATAAATCAACATACCGAGTTCTCAAATTCATCATCAGGTTGGATTGCTGTCCAACCCTTGCCATCTCCAACAACATATTCCTTAGCCAGAACTGGAGAAATAGCTAATGCCACAAGGGCAATTGTTACCAACATTCTCTTAGAAGCCATTTGATGTTTTAGTGCCCGGCAATCCAGGCTTCATAATCAGGTTTGATTGCTGTCCAACCCTTTGTTATCTCCAAAAACATATTCCTTAGCCAGAACTGGTGAAATAGCTAATGCCACAAGGGCAATTGTTACCAACTTTCTCTTAGAAGCCATTTGATGTTTTAGTGCCCGGCAATCCAGGCTTCATAATCAGGTTTGATTGCTGTCCAACCCTTTTTTATCTCCAAAAACATATTCCTTAGCCAGAACTGGTGAAATAGCTAATGCCACAAGGGCAATTGTTACCAACTTTCTCTTAGAAGCCATTTGATGTTCTAGTGCTAAACTTTAGAGTACCCCTTTAGGCTGGTCTTTTTTACACTTTGAATGGCTTGTAAAAAAATTGTTGATGAGTTTCATATATAGATGTTCCATTTGAAGTTCCCTAGCCGGTTAAAGTGGTATGACAACTATATATGGTGCAACCGATTATCTCTTTTCCAGAAACTTGTTTGGTCCGAAGGGATCAATTGAGTACTTGACTGTTTTTAGCAAAATGATAATGGAAACCCCTTTTATGTAGACTGAAACATACTACCATGGCCTCCTCTACTTTGACCCAGTTTTGATGGAATTTTGTCCACACAACCATTTCTTTCTTTTTTTAGATGTTTGGATTACCAATCAGTTACTTTTGTACCAATTCAGATTATTAACCTAATTGGTACTTGAATCGATCTAAGTTTGATTATCGAAGCTTTCCATTGCATCAGTGAGGAAAAAAATTGAATTTTTTAGAGAAAAGTGATAGGTGCGACCTAGTAATGTCTATTTTTGCCATAGCTGAAATTCTACATATTGCTAATAGAAGGTTGCTGCTTACCTACCCATGGGCGCCAGTGTTTGATTTGAATTTTTGTTGCACAAATGTCTTGAAGGATCAACCTATAACCCTTAGTTAATTGACTCCATCATTACTTATTCTACATGTAGGAGCATAAATGTCATATTATTGAAATCAACAGCATGCAAGCCTGATAACCAAAATGAATACAATTAATAAGTTAAAAGACACATTCAAAGTTCAACAAGAAAAGAATAATCCTTGGACAACATTGCTATAAAAATTAAAAAATGACCATCCCAAGAATGCCAACTATGGCCACAAGCAAGCCATAGTATCTAGATGCAATGCTGCCTGATGCTTCGGATGCTGAGGTACCGGTTGGACTGGGAGAAGGTGATGTTGAAGGAGATCCCAATTGAGCCAACACAGTAATGGCAAGTTTCTGGTTCCCAGATTCACAATGTTTGGCCACACCACAAATGTACCATTTCCTTCCAGGAGTTGAGAGTGGAATCACATCATTTCCAGGAGTCAAGGGCACAGTATCAGCTGTTGCCTTGCACTCTTGGAATCCAGTTCCATTTACTTTTAACACATTGTGTGCTTCTGGTGTGCACTTGAAAACTGCAACAAGAAAAAAAATCAAGTTCGTAATTATAACAACAACAACAACAACAACAACAACAAAAATCGAACTACTTCACATTAATTATCATATTAAGTGGTGGACAAGCTTAATGAAAGCCAATATATATATAGAAAGTACCAAGTGTGTCTCCGACGTGAAATTCTTTTCCCTTAGCCCAAGTTTGATAATCAAAGCCTGGATTCCAGCCTGTCTAGTCACCAACCAAATGTTCAATCCCCAAAACTGAAGGAACAAAAACTGCAACAATGGCAACGATCGTGAAAATCTTAGAAGAAGTCATTACAACTTTATTAACGAAGCGACTCTCTCTCTCTTCCGCCTTTTTTTTTTTTATTGTATTCTTGATCAGATGGTTTGTAATGCAGGTTGGTTGTTGGAAAGGGTTCGAACGTTGCCTATTTATAGAGTTCTCATTAGGGAAAAAGGTGATTCTAGGTTGTAGGGCATATGGTCAGGTTAGGGACGGCTGATACAGCAAAATTCTTGAAATGTAGTATCGGCAACAGCATTGCTAAGCTAATCCTCTGGAACTGTTCGGATTTTGTTTGTTACGTTAGACTTGTTCGATAAATCGACGAATGTGGACTCTATGCTCTGCTTGGACATCCATTATGCACTGAAGCCCTGCCAAATGTGAAAACGTAACTTAAATTTTTTTTTTTTTTTGGCATGTTGTTGAAGCAGCAGATCGAAACAGAGTAAAACAAAATACATCACCCATAATATAACGCTAAAAAAAAAAAAAAAAAAAAAAGAAAAAGAAAACTTCCTCTGTTCTCCCACTCATCACTTTTTATGAATTTAAATATAATTTAATTATTTATCTCTTCCTTCAAAATGTATCATGATCAATGATCACTGGTTACTTAGGAAGTATTATAAAATTTTTCTTGAAAGAAGTGGGTGCAATGAATTGTGAATTGGATGATCATAACCATTAGTGCGCCTCTTGATTGTCACTCTCAAGGCCCCTGATCATCCAATAATTATCTATGAATCAGTCCACATAAATTTATCAGGGCCCGCATGAATTTTATTTGCCGTGAGCTTTGTGGTCTGGAATCAGTTGAACCAGAAGAGATCCCTGTTTCACCATCATGAAGAGATAAAAAGATTTTAGTATTCTTTTTTTTTTCCTCAACCGAGTTAAAAGAAATATCAGATGATTACAATTTCAGTTCATGAAATTTTCGATTATTTTAATTAAATGTTTACTTTTTATGTTAATGTCCAAAATTACTCTAATCAAATTAAGGGTTTTTGTTAGATTCTCTCCTTGATATGTTTTGGTGACCATTAAATTGACATGTGGTACACTCAAATTCCACCGATGAACTTTTCAATTTATTTTTAATTAATGGTTTAACTTTTAATTTGTTATTTGAGTTTCTCAATCTTCAAAAGTTTATTAATTAGATGTTTGATTGTCCATGTTCCTATTATTAGTTCAGCTGGTATCCGTACTTGATTTAAATTTGTGTTTAAAGTTGTTAACTCTAGTCTCAATATATAACTCTGTCAAAAAAAAAAAAAAAAAAAAAAACACATAACCTTTTAAATTAGAGATGGAGATATGTCTCGTACTCAAGAGATTGGAGGAAATTGAAAGAATCTAGTTTTGTTCCCCGCCGCCTCCACCACAACCCACCCCACCCCACCACACCCAACCCTACGTAGTGTTCCTTTATTCTTATTTTTTTCCCCTAAATTGAGCAAAGTTGTTATTTATTGCTATTTTTTTTACTTGGTCAAATATTGCCTATTTAAGGATGAAAGGTAGATAATTAACTAATACATTTTTAATAAAATACTCGATTGATAAATAATTTAAGTTCATAAATTCACATAGTAAAGTAAAAGTATAAATAATCAATGAGGAAAAAAGAAGAAGCAAAATTTATGCAAAACTTCACAAAAATATGTGCGTGGATGAACTAAATGGCCCTGTCAACACATAATAAATGGAATATAAAATAAATACTTAATTGGAAAGTTTTCAAAAGTTCTAAAACTTAAATAACAAAGATAAAAGCATAAACATTCAATCGAAAAGTTCATGAAATTAAAATTGTAATTATCTCAAAAGAAATTTGAAAATCCTTAATAACAATAATTTTTCATTTACAATTTCACATTTGATTTAATATACTAATTATACACGATTAGGAAAACCCATGTTACATAATAATTTTCTTTCTATTAAATTTTTTGGGAGCATAAATAATTGAAATTGAAAAGTATAAACATTTAATTGAAAACTTTATAAATTAAAATTGTAATTATCTCAAAGGAAATTTAAAACAAATTAATAACAGTAATTTTCCATTTACAATTTCACATTTGGTTCAATATACTAATTATACATGAGTAGGGAAAAAGAAAAAGTGTTCCATAATAGTTTTCTTTCTATTAACTTTTTTTGGGAGCATATAGTCTCAATTAGTCGACTTTTTGAACTACGATACGGACTAAATAAATATATCTATTTTAGTTCGATAACTTGTATTAACTTGTTGGTCAACTAAAATATATTAAATTAAAGAAAAAATAAAAAAATCCATCTAATTTTATATTTTTAATCAAAATTTTATATTTAATTTATTCTTTTTTATTGTCAAAATAATGCGACCCCTCAAAACCCCACAAAAGTTTAATTAACAATTACAAGATAGAATCTTCACTAGGCTATTCTATCTCAATAAATACAACAATAGTGCTACAAATCCATAACCAATCAAATCATTTACCCGATCCCAAACACAAGACAAACTTAGCAAATAAGGCACTTAGAGTTACCCAACTAACGTGAAGGTGTTCTCTAGGCTAAACTAGTTCAAATGAGATGAAACTTTACCATAATCTACCCGACTTATATTAGTAGAAGCATGCAAAATTACCTAAGACCTTGTTTAGGTCGGTTGAAATTGTGTACTTGAATATGTCTCAAAGACTTGTTCGAAAATTATAGAAAAAAATTGATTCCGTTCACCTCTCATGGTAACTTCAAATATCCCAAAATTTTATACACAATCTCAAAATTTCTAGTAGAAAGTCCCTATCAATTTTTAGCCCTAACAAATAACCCTAGGCTCTCTAACGCACAAAGGTTTTAAGAGAAACTTCTAGAAGAAAAATGGTAGTTCATGCAAGTCAATCTACCGTTATTATAAAATCACGAAAGTCCAATTATCTAACCCTAGAACCAGTCCAAGTTCTCAAATCAAGATAGAGTAAAAGACATTTATGGGATAGACATGCCAAAAGTCTTGAAACCACAACGCTAATCTCTTGCGCACAATAATCTAAAACTCACCTTAGATGATCACTTAAAGGATATGCTCCAAGTAATACTAGTCTAGTCCAAGTCAAGAAAAATACTTGAATATTTGAAATAATAAATCTTTGAACTTTATTGCTTTCAAACTCGGCTAGGTTTATTCAATATTTCAACCAAAAGCCCTTACAATAATGCATGAAAGATGTTTAAATACTAATAAAAAGACCTAGTAGAATTCGACGGTTGGACCTCCTCTTTTTAATATAAATGGACTTATGTAATCCATATTTATTTACAACTTATTCTTATTTAGTTCAATTAATTATGGATCCATATACTACAAAGAATCATTAAAAACCTTTCCCTAAAAGACAAGAATCCATAAACAAATTCTAATTCCTTTTATAGCTAGCCACCTCCCTAAATTTAAGAAATAATTAATTAATGAAAACTTAATAATTTAAAAAAAAATCCAACACATAAAAATAAAACCAAATAATAATAATCCAATCCATATAGAAATTAAAAAAATAAAATAAAAATTAAGATAAGGAAATAGATCCACCTCTTTGAATAGAAGCCAATTAGAGAAGAGTCGACCTCGACGTTGGAGAAGCATCGACCTCAAGTGACCTAAAACATTCGACCATGCTTAAAGGAGGAGACACTTATATGTCATGCTCTCCCGGTTGGAGAAGAGTCAACCTCGATATCTTGGTCTTCGTCTTCTTCATTGAGATAAGGAAAGAGAGCCACCTCCTTGAATGTGGCTAAAACTAAGTAAGCTCTATGTAGGCTAACCTTAATGAATGCTCCCCATCCTTTTTATGATTTTGAATTAGCCTTTGATTTTCTTGGTCATAGAAAACCTATTATTAGAAATCTTCTTTCTCTTCATGTTCACCTATACTAGGTCTCCCTTATGGCAAGTTGTTTTGGAACAAAACTTAGAGATTTCAACCCATAGTTGCTCATTGACGGTTTCGACAACAATCTCCATATGATTCTCAAGTTATTACTCTCCCCTATCATTCACAACCCTCTTGGTAGTAGCAAACCCTAATTCACTCTTGTTAGTTTTGATAGCGGCTTTAAAACCACTCTTCCCACTCACGATAGTAGCATGTCCCTCATAGTTCTCCACTTTATTCTTACAACTCTTGACAATAACTAGATCTTCCACAATAACCATCCCATTCCACAATCCTCAAGCATTTCATCATACTTCTCCACCCTTTGATATACAATATATATCTTTCCATTCAAATTAGTAGTAATAATAGAAGAAAGATTCATTTCATCTTTTTCATATGCATCGTATTTAAGATCACTAGCTAAAATATCAAAGTTCTTATAATGCAAATCATGTTCGATAGTCATAGTAACAATCAAAGCACTAGAAAAAACTATTATATTCCTCACATATCATGAGTTTACTAGAAAAATTAATATAGCCAGGTGAAAATTTTTAGGCATAGGTTTTCTCAATTGTTTATTGGATATTGTTGAGAATATATACGTTGCCTCAATGTAGGATCGAATGAGTGTTTGTGATACTATCATGGATGACATGTAGATCAAATTGCCAAGATCTTGCCAATTAAATATCCTAGATGGTCATGTGTAGAACCTCACACAAAACCTAATCATCATACCTTACATTCAAGCCGATGTTTACTTTATGTTGATAAGTCACCATCGATCAATCAACTTCATTAATCCATCTCACTTGAAAAGAACTAAGATGTATGGTTAATGTCTTGCCCATGCCTTCCACTAGAGATTGACCGATGATGTTCGCACTATCTATATTCATCAAGCTAGATCTACCATCTAATTGAAATTGAGTTTGAAAGATGGAAGTCCTCCTCTATTCGGGATCAACATCAATCACCCCATTTTCTCTATAGAACTCGTATGGTTAGAATCACATCATCCTCTTCAACAAAGGTCTTACCCTCATTGAAAAAGACTTGACCCTTATCTTGGTCTTTTACAAAACC